AATTCTAAAAAATTGGATGGATTTTAAATATACCTATTGTTTTCAAAACATAGAAATTCATGTTCCAATATATTGTTCTTCTAAAAATAATATTTTTTTCAATACCATTTTCCATGTCACAAAAAATTGATTTTTCTTTTAAAAATATGCCATTCATTGGAATTGAAAAACTACTGATTTATATTTCTGAAAACATAACATTTACGAAAATATGAAAGAATTTTTAATTTTTCTTTAATACATCGGAAAATACCGTACCAAGACATCGTTTGTAGACTTATGTGGCATAGTGTAAGTACATTATTATTCTTTAACAATAATATGTAAAATATTTACCTAGTAGCAACACTTATCACATATCAAAATATAGAAAAAACGACTAGGTCACGTTTTTGGAGACAAAATCTATTGTAACTGTTTTACTTAAAGTAACAAGAATTATGTATATAATATAAATTTGGAAGTACAATATTAGCTTTGTTTTGAGGTGTTTCTATTATGTACCGTTCTGGAGTTACAGCTTCATATGTTAGCTTTTTGACCAAAAATTTGGATTTTTTCAAACTTTGAGTGACGAGCGGCACGTGTTAACGTCTTTTAATCGAGCTCAAATTTCGGTTATCTTAATATCTCGAAAGGGTTTTGTGGGGTTAAGTCGAACAAGATTCGACAAGAAAAGGTGATCTTATAACTGCTAAAGCCCTCGTCAAACTCTATAAAAAATAATTCGCGTAAGAGTGCTTAACTTGTCCAGCTATGAAAAAGTCATCAAGCCAAATTCCTAACTAGGTGAATGTGCTTCAGCAGAGGCTGTAGTCAATTGTGTGGAAAAGCATACCAGTAAATCCATCAAAGAACACGAGCTACTAGCGGACTATGTGGGCAAATTGGTTTAAAAGCTAGCGCCGCCAGATAAAAAGAAAGCCAAACAACTTCTGAAGAGACATGTATACGTCTTTTCTTTAAAAAGTCCAAACCAATGTAGAACAGCAATTGTGAAACATCAAATAGATACTGGGGATATGAGACCAATAAAGCAGGCTCCCAGAAGCATTCCTTTATCAAAACGAAGCGAAGTAATAGAGTTATTGAACGAAATGGAGTGGAGCGATGTAATCGTGCAAAGTTTATATTGGCACGTAGAGATTGCAGACAAAGACAAAGAAAATACAGCATTTAGTGCTAGTAATGGACTATGACAGTTTAATGTAATGCCCTTTGGGCTTACGCAATTATATTTTTAACGGGCAGTTCCCGAAATTTCTTAGCGACTAATATTTGGTTGGCAACACTAAATCGTTAAATCGATCATTGTAGAGGTGAGTGTCTCCACTAAATGTACCATAAGATGTATGCCAGAAGTATCCTGAAGGTGTCGCCAGAATATCCCGGAAATGTCTAGAAAATGATGCCTAGTATAAATAAAGCCGCACTGTGGACCAAATGCCTAATCTAGCGCGCAAGTGCGCTTAACTCGACTTAGAAAGCACTTAGAAATCTGAAGTTTGGAATATGAATAGAAAATTATAACACATATTATAATTCTCTTAGGATTTAAAGGAAACGTGGATTTTAAACGAAACGTGAATTTAAAAATAACATTAATTCCATTAGGTTTTTGTATTTAATTTTTGTTAAAATTAGTATTATCAAGTCCATTTTTAAATCTTACTTAATAAGAGAAGGATAAAAACAACTTGACTGACTGCTTAACGGATTTTAAAATATAATGGCTATTTTTTACTTTGAATGAATTTTAATGCAATTCAAAATCAGTTATTAATGTTTATTTTGTTATCATACATAATTTGTATCAATATCACGCTAAAAAATTAATTTAAATATTAACAAATAAGAGTGTTATATTCGGCCATGCCGAATCTTATATACCCACCATCAAAACTCGTTTGACTCGAATGAAACTTACTTATGTCGAATTTCATCTATATACTCGTATTTTTTAGGCCAGTTATAAGCGTTAAAGTAATTTTCTGAAGGGGACCTTATATAGGGGGGTAGGGTCAATTATGGGTCGATCCTCATAAAATTTGGTAGACAGAATTTGGTTAAATTTATTTGTGTCGAATTTCATCGCTACACTCGTATTTTTAAGCCATTAATGAGCGTTGCAGTCATTTTCTGAAGAGGACCTTACAGGGGGGGTAGGGTCAATCATGGACCGATCCTCATAAAATTTTTTAGATAGATTTTGACTTGTATAAAACTTACTTATGTCGAATTTCATCGCTATATTCGTATTTTTAAACAAGTTATGGCTGTTAAAGCTGCTTTTCGATGGGGGCTATCCGAAAACGTGGACCGATATTGCCCATTTTCAATACCAAACAAACCTTACCTATAAGAAATGTTTATGTGAAATTTCAACCCTCTAGCTCTTTCCATTAGGATTCTATCGTGCTTTCAACAGACAGACAGACAGACATACAGACGGACAGACATGGCTAGATCGTCTTAGAATTTAATGAGGACCGAGAATATATATACTTTTGTGGGTCTATGACCAATATTTCGATGTGTTACAAACGGAATGACAAAATCAATATATCCCCCATCTTTTGTAATGGTGGGTATAAAAATTAATTCATAGTACCTTCAATAATGCATTTTAAAATAAATATAGTGCACCAATGAAAATTCGCATGAAAATCATGGAATGTTCATTGGTTATAAGCACTCATTTGAATGACGAACTATTTTGCCAAATACGAACCAATGCTCGCCAATGACACGCTAATGTTAAAATCATGCATGTTTCACCTAAACATGAACCAGTTCATTATCAGTTAAACCCATGCATTTACTACTTTTTTTGCTGGGAACTATATACAAATTTAATATCATATGAAAGGTCTTTGGGAGATGATTTCAATGAGATAACCCAATATTGTATAGAACTCCAAAATTATTACAAATGTCATTTTTCAGTGCATTTTTAAGTTTTAAGATTTTTACATAGAATTCTTTAATGTAATTAATTGAAATTATTTCATTATAAACCTCATATAATTTCACAGAAATAGTTTTATCTGTTTTTCGAAATACGATATGTTTTGTATGTTATTTAAATATTTTTAATCCTATTTTCTCCCCGGTATTAGTTAGTTTGAAAGGAGGATGTACAACGGTAGAATTATTTTACACTCCTCGCCACTTGAATAGCACATATATAAATTTTTTTCAAATCTTATATTTTTGGATCAGGAATTTCTGGAAACTTGTTTTTTCTCCTCATTGTAATATTTTTTGTTCTGAATAAAATTTGATATGATATAATATCTGTGATATTTGATTTTATATAATTTTTGGTCATAAATTAACCGAAAAAAGCTATTGTTAAAAATTCGCCACTTGAATAGAACATCCCCCCGAAAAAGTGATTTTATAGCAACTTTTGTAATTAAAACTTATTGATTTAGATTATTTACAACGATATGAATTAAACTAAGCTATTTTAGTAATGTGTTGAACCTCCTTGGTTGACTAACACTTCACAAATCCTGTTTGGAAGTGATTCATATAGCTTGACCATGTAATTCACTTGCTCTGAGCTCCAGACTTCTTTAATTGCATAGATTAGTTCAGGAATTATTGAATACTGTTTTCTAGACTCATAAACTTTTCGGACAACCCATTTCCACAAGATTTCTAATGTTTAAGTCTGGTGAATATGGAGGCCAGCTCAAATATTTAAAACTAATAAAAAAGTGAATAGTCGGGGATGGGCGACCATATGATACCAGTTATGAGTATATTTAAAATGTGATTTCTTTTTTAGTATAGCATTTATATTGAATTTTGTCTTCATTTCCATATACTATTTAAGCAATTTATTAATGAAAAACTGATTTCCTGAAAGAGACTACATATGGGAGCTGGGATCAATTACGGACCTATTCTCTAGGCGTGTCAAAAAAATAATTTTTATATTTTTGGAAATGTTATTAACATATCTTTAATCCTTGGGGGCAACTGATACAAGTTTTTTTGTCCCACTCTGCTGTACATACATATATTCTAAAGGGGTTCCATATAAGAAATTTACATACATATGCATTAAAAAAAATTATGAAAAAGTACACATATTTGGAGTTTTACGATCTTTTTCTTAAATTTATACACATATCCGCCCAATATCCTCATATGGGGACATAATTTTTCTCGATTAAGATATCGCTGAATCATATAACAACTTTTCACTACAAAATTTAAATGACATGCTACAACCCCGATTTGATTTCGGTTTCGCAAATCGAGCCCGTGCTATTATTATATATGTATTTATATATATTTTATACCCACCATCAAAAAAGATGGGGGTATTTTGATTTTGTCATTCCGTTTGTAACACATCGAAATATTGGTCATAGACCCACAAAACTATATATATTCTGGGTCCTTATTAAATTCTAAGACGATCTAGCCATATCTGTCCGTCCGTCTGTATTCTCTATAGGTAAGGTTTGTTTGGTATTGAAAATAGGCAATATCGGTCCACGTTTTCGGATAGCCCCCATACAAGTGGACCCCCGAAAAACAGCTATAAATGGGCCCCTTCAGAAAATTTGCTTAACGCTCATTACTGGCTTAAAAATACTAGTATAACAATGAAATTTGACATAAGTCTCTTATGATCCAAAACTTCTCTACCAAATTTTATGTTGATCGGTCTATAATTGACCTATATATAAGATCCCCTATATAAGATCCCTTTCAGAAAATTACTTTAACGCTCATTACTGCCTTAAAAATACGAGTATAGTGATGAAATTCGACACACATAAGTTTCAATGAAGCCAAAATCTCTCTATCAAACTTTATGTGGATCGGTCCATAATTGACACTTTTAAGGCAACATTTGATGGTGGGTATATGAGATTCGGCACAGCCAAATATAACACTCTCACTTGTTTAAGCTTGTTTTTTTTACAAATTAAATTAATTAAAATTATTAGTTGGTTTTGTTTTCATACACTACTCACAGTTTATAGGGTGTATTATGCTCTTCGTGAAACTCGTCCATCATCAAGTCATGATACACTTCATGAATTTGCTGCTGTTGGTGTAAAGGACTGTGTGTGTTGCTTACATTATGATGGTGATGTTGTGGATGTAAAAAGTCCATAATGTGTGAATGTTGCTGTCTATGCTCTCTTTGTGGAGTTCTAGACATATTATGGTGCTGTTGCAACTCCTCCTGTTTTTGCATTTGATGTTGCATATGTAGTTGTTGATGGTGTTCTTGCTGTTGCAACTGATATAATTGCTCAGCCGAATATTGTTGTTGCATAGAATGTTGAAGAGTCTGAGTTTCTAAATTTTGATGAGAGTGAACCGCCGACGAATGTCTATGTTGATGTTCCTCATGCTCGTTTTGCTGATGGCTATTTAACATTTCTCCATATGTAGATGATATTGATGCAACGTGATGCTGCTGATGATGATATTGCTCTTCAATTTGTGTGTAGACTTTGTCAGCCGCATCTATTATATCTTTTTCGTGTTGCTGGTGGGTAATTCTATCCGTTGGTTGAGTCTCAAACTCAGTATGCTGTACTTGAGAACTTTGTTCCAAATATTTGTTAAAATTTTGATCCTCTTGATTCTCTTGTTCTTGTTGATTTTCTAACTTCTTTTGAAGTTTATCGGCATTTTCTTCATGCTCTTCTAAAGAGCTATGTCTGTTGCCTGACTGACTTATTGAAGTAGTGGTGGGATCACTTTTTAAATTATTTTCTTTACAATCACTGTGTTGATCGATATTACCAATATTAATATTTGTGGAAGTTTTTGGATTATTGAAGGGACCAGCCTCCTCTTCCTTATTGTAGCCTGTGGCATCTGCTACAGACACGTCGGGACAGTCATTTTCAATGTCTGTTTCTTGAAAACATTGATTTTCATTGGAAGTCTCTTGGTTAGTTTGTGTAGTTATATTAATGGGCGGTAATGTTGGTGGTGAAGATTTTATTGCACAACCATTAATTTCATCGGTATTATAGTGGCGATATTGTTCATCACCTGGCGAGCTTGAAATACCAATATTTAAAGTGTGCGGATTTTTTGTACTATTACTAACTAAACTTGGATTCATTGCTGTGTTCGTTGATTTTAATACATGTTTTTGGTTTTGTTCGATTTCGCTTGGGATGATCTCATCTTCGTATGGCTGCTTGTTATTAGATTCGTTAGATGAAAAGTGTTCATTTATATTCTCCATAGATATTTTGCAGCTTGGATTTGATGATGAGCTATTTTCCGAACATACACTATTACTTAAATGACATAAGTCATTTTCATATTCAGCTTGATGATGTTCATCTTCATCATCATTGTTATTGAAATGAGGACTTGGTGATGCTAACTTTTCATTTGTTTGATATAACGTATGCGTGTTTTGTATATCATGTGAGGAAGATGTGGGCGTAATCGGAACCGTGTGTTCATTTTTAACACCTTCATTACCACCTGATTTTAATCGCATATCTGTATTGTGCACACCATATTCAGATTGACTTTTGTCATTGAGACTCGCAGTGGTTTTATGAATTTCAAGATTATCTTTTACTTCCTTAACCTCTTTATCAATGTATAATTCATCAGGCTTTTCAAAAACCACACTTTCTAAGCACTCATACGAAGTCGACTGTGCAACATGTGTACTTTCATTCAAGCTTATTAAACTCGGGGGTTTAATACCACTGCTGATACTAGTACTACAACTGAAAGAGCTCTCATTTTCATTCCGCATATCTTGTTTTATGCAGATTTCCTGCATTTCCTCGAATTTTTCGTTGTCGGCATCATTGATGTTTTTTTCATTATCAAACATATCCTCTTCCTCGAAGTCATGTTTTCCCACATTTTTATAGTTTTCATCAGTGTTGTCATCGTACATGGTCCTTCTACTATTATTGGTGATTTCGACTTTATCTGACTCTGAAAAATTCATTGTGTCATTGTATTCTGAGGATGGACTGTGTTTTTTCATTTCTTCGTAATCAGTTAAATGTTCATTATCCTCCTGTTTGTTAGATCGTAAATATTTTTTGGAACCAGCTGTTGTTGTACGTGTTTGTAGATCTTCTGTTTTATTGAGGTGAGTGGCTAAATTATTGGCTGTACATACTAAATTTTTCTGACTTGATTGACGTGTTGTCTGTTTTAAACGAGTTGAGTTTGACGTATCACCAACAAGACGTTCATCAGAAAATTCTGCAGTTTCTAAAAGTGCTGAATTTGGACGTCTTCGTTTGCGTTCTCCTAATTTATTTTGCAAATAACGTTTAGAATTAGCTCCAGCCATTACACGTTCGTCGGCCATAAATTCGTTAGGTTTGTCGTGGTCAGTGCTGGTATAGTTATAAGATTCCTTTAACGATGTTATTAAAAAATGTGTATAGAGTTTCGTTGTGTATGTTAAAGTAGTTTTTAAGAGTATATCGCAATTTATAAATTCATCAGCATTTATACAAATATTTTGGAACAAAACGTCACTGTGAAATATACTTTTTATTGATTCTGTGGAATAAATTGAATTTTTCGCATGTAATGGTATTACCTCTTGCATTATCTATACGATAAATTGACGCACATTAACGGCTGGTCCTTTTTCAATATCTACTTTACTCTCTCTTGGTGACAAATTGTTTCTTTCATTTATGCGAATACAAATTTTTATATTTTACTAATTCAGTTTCAATAAAATCTACATTCCTTGCATTTTCTTATTAGAGATTACATAATGCACAGTAATTTTTCTTTCAATTGGGTGAGGAATTTCAGGCTGTAATTATATAACAAATAAAAAAAAAATAATTATTATTTTGTAAAGTTAAAATACATACATAAAACCATTATGTATTCATAATACAAAATACTTTTATAAACCGATATGATTTTATAAAAAAAATCAAACTACATTTCCAATTGTATTTCAAAAAGTATGTATTTCTAAAATACATTATTCCCAAGTGCTTTAAATGGTTTCCTCACACAGGGAAACTTTTGATTTTGTGTGAGGGAGAAAGAAATATCAATCATTTTTCCCGCGGTACGGAGTTTCTTTTACTCGGAAACATATTTTGTTTTGTTAGTCCCGTTTCACACAGATAAACTTTTGTTGAGAAACTTTTTCTTAATTCTCTTTTAACGATGACTTTATGTCCACACAGAGAAACATTTTTTTCAGCAACTACATACCTATTAATTGCATTAATTTGTTTTTGTATGGATCCTATATATGTACATATATATAAAACAGACTGTTTGTGTGTTTGTTACGCTTTCACGGCAAAATTACTAAACCGATTTATATGAAATTTGGACCGCTAATAGGTCTAACCCCAAAACGAACAATAGGCTATATTAGATCTTGATCCGATACCACGCCCCTTTATACGCCCACTTTTTATAAAACTATCCTTACCTATATCTTTTCCTATAACTATATGAAAGAGAATGTCTGTTTGTTATGCTTTCACGTACAAACTATTGATCCGATTTACATGAAATTTAGAACACTAATAGTTATATTCTAAAGTGGAACAATAGACTATATTAAATCATGATTAGACGTCACGATTCTACTTATGCTCACTTTTTTCTATATCGATAGGTCTGAGCTCAGGATCTGGATCAAAAACAATTATTATACCAAATTTACATTTTCATGAAATCTGTTATAATGAATGTTATGAAATGAACAGTACGACACATTACATCTTCAAAACGTATAATATACATATAATAATAAATATATATGACTTTTTTTATTCTTTCAGGTTCTAACCTCAGAAGTTAAAAAAGACTCTATATGATATTGATTGGTTGCTACGCACAGTTTTATGTTCATTTTTAGAATAACACCAAATGTGTAGGCTAAATATAAAAAACATGAACGGATTTTCCAGAAATTTGGCAACATACAGCGTATTTTTGGAATCAACTTTTTGATCTGGATTTTATGATTCATGAAATTTTGCATCATAATAGTTCTATAGGGGAAGGTTGGGTTAGTTTGAGGAAGAGAATGTTTAATACATCAAATCCGAATAAATACACCTATACCACTAATTGCGTGCCTGTTGCAATCTTAATGAAATGCAACGATCTTTTTCCGTGCTCTTTTCGTTAAATTTATAATGCTAAAGATAAAGATAACTATTTGAAAATTTACTTTAAATAACACTCAATTCGAGAAAACAATAAAGATCCGTAATCACTCATATTCTCAATATAAATTGAGTTTAATATCAAAAATATAAAATTTTAACTTATTCTTAAATCGAGATAACAAAAATCTGTGATAAGTTCACATAAAAAAATTATCTTGATGTAAATTCGGTTGCCATTTTGTATTTGACTACTCTATAGAGTCTACCGAAAGACAGCACTTTTGCAAATCTTATATAGGTAGACATTTCAAACGATGCATATAAAGCATTATTCATATAAAATTTGGATACATTTATCGATATCTTTTTATACTTTTAATAAATTATTCACCAAAAATTCTGCACAACTTTTCCTGTATGTAGAGCCGTATTTATTCAAAGCTTTTCAAATTACGAAGCTAGTGAGAAAAATAAAACAAAACAAGATTCCTAGTACAAGAAACTACGTACAGCGATAGAGATTATTTATATTTCTTTCTCTCTCACAAAAAATAAAAAGTTTCCCTATGTGAACCGGACTAATGTTTTGTTCGCTATTACTTTAAATATCGGAGTATATATCTTATATAAAAATTAATATTTGTTTGTACATAATGCACAACAAGTTCAACAAGTTAAACCACAAGACCAATTTTCTACTTTTTTCTAAGCTACTTTTGGTTTTTAAACTTCAATAAAATAGAATATCTGAAAATGTAGCTCAGCAAGCGTCCTCAAAATTTGCATCAACAATTTTGACGTCCATACGAATATTTGGAAAAAGAGGTCGGTCTAACCAAGTGCCATGCCACTCAAATATCTGGTAAACTACAACAGACGGAATTTCAAAACTTTTAGTAATAGTGGGCGTGACACTTCCCATATAAAGTAAATACTAGAGTATTCAAAAACCGAAACCGGTTAACCGTTTTTTTTTTTGTTTGAAAACCGACCGATTTCGAATAGTTCATATTTTCGAATTATTCGACTGGCCGGTTTTTTGGTGTCGGTTAACCGGTTTTTTTATGGATGAAATTTTCTTTAAATTTTGGGATAAAATAACTACTTTTATAAACATTTTGTGTTAATTATTCTATCTAAATACTTTCGGTTTACTTTTTATTTTCCTACTTTACTATTTGCTAATATTTTGAAACTTTTGTATAGATAGTTCAAAAATATAGTCCATTTGTCTAGTACAATTCAATATCTTCCTAATGGTTTAATTTTTGCTAATTTTACGTTTAGCTGAGAAATGTTTCATCTGATTTTGGATTTTCGAAAATATAGTCCAAAATGTGACTATATTTCCGTATTATTATGGTCTAATCATAAAATTTTTAGGGGATTTCTATAAATAGTGAGTACCAAAAAAATATTTTTTGTGGACGTCGTTTTATCCTAATTAATTTTCTCAGATGAAAAGTAGAAATATCCATTAAAATTTTTAAAAATATGAACTTCCTCGTGCCATTTACAAATTTTTTTATTCTTCATATAAAAATGTGAATTTTAAGGTATTAAGCTATTTCCATAAGATGTCTTCAATATTGTTAAAATTATAATTTCAAATATTTAAACAAATTTATCTTTCTGTATACAGCTAATCACAAAAATAAGTATACAGATATACCGACGATGGGTTCTATTTTAAAAAAGTTATTATTTTTTCAAGAAACAAAAAAGTAACACATTTATTTATTAAAAACAATTATGATAATTATTATTCACTACTTTTTTTCTTCATATTTTGGTTCTTTGAGTTCTCATTTAAGCTGAAGTTAAAAAGGTACAAAATTTACGTCACAAAAGTAAGTATACAGATCATTTCAATATATATTTGATTTAATGATATTAACAAAATTTATGAAAATTTTACTTGTATTAATATAATTACTTTTTAATAAAATATTTTTTACACAATAACTTGGAAAAAATCTACTTTTAGTTCTGAAATCTTGAAATTTGGGCCGATTGGATCCGGAATTAATTAGTAGCACAGTTTTTTTTTTCATTTCTACGATTTTTTTTTCACTTTAGACCCCGGATTTTGGATCTGGTGGTCATTGAACCCTCCAAATGATGCATTGGAAATAGAATTTTTAACTTTTGAAAAGAGTTGTTATTTCGAAATTAATGTTATATGCATGGATTTGGCCATTTTGAACAGAGTACGTTCTTAAAAAACCGAAATTTAACTCCGATTTCTTAAGACTTACAACATAAACTTTAAAATTTGGATAATTCTATATATTTCCTTTAATTTAAACAGGTTTTCCAAATACTCCGATTTCCAAAGCATACAATAATGCTACCAATCATATCTTGATATACTCGATACAATAACCATGTTTTATGGATCGGACATTTTATTTGTTCTAGCAACAAATTAAGATGTATCCGTGTTCAAAATTGTTCAATTCGTATTCATACCACCAATTGAGCCTGATTTAATATAAAAATCTTACTATTTTGGACAATAATCAATTTCAGAACCGATATGTAGTGTAAGTTATTGACATGGTCACCATTTGACGATTATTGGTAGTATTTAGGAGTATGTAATGGATGATTGGAACCAAAAAACTTGTTTTAATTAATGGATACTAGTACAAATATTATTAATATCGCATTTTAAGATATAAATTTTAGGAAATCGCCGTTAAATATCGAATATGAACGCTATACTATGTTAAAAACGGCAATGTTCCGCAATAGATTGCACATATTGTAAAGAAACAATTAATTTAAAAGTTAAAATATCGTCTTCCAATGCATCATAATGAACAAACGAGGGATATTATTGAATATCCGATTCAAAACTCTGGGGGTTTAAATAGTCAGATGTTCTTAAATAGGAAAAAATGCTCCTATCAATAATATTCAGATGAATTACCAAAAATTTCAATTTTTCGGAACAAAAAGTGAATTATCTGTATACTTACTTTTGTCACGTCACACCTTAAATGAGAACTCAAGTAACCAAAATAACCCGGAAAAAAGTAGTGAATAATAATTATCATAATTGTTTTTAATAAATCAATGTGTTACTTTTTTGATTTTTGAAAAAATAATATCCTTTTTTAAATAAAACCAATTGTCAGTATTTCTGTATACTTATTTTTTATTATGTTATTTTCGGAAAATTTATATATCATTTTTGCAGAAAAAAATACCTAAATAAAAAAACCGGTTAACCGGTTTTTACACTTAAAACCGTATTCGAAACCGGTTTTTTAGAAAATGCGATTTTTCGAATTATTCGAAAACCGGTTTTTTAAACAAACCGGGTTTTGAATACTCTACTAAATTACTAATACTAAATTTTGAATATTTGAAAACTATATAAGCTAGTATATTAAAAAATGAAAGTGCTTTAAAGGGTTACTATTTAAATGTATGCACATTTCTTTAGGTCGTCTTAAAATTAATGACCTTGGCATCTCCCATTCCTAGTAAATTCTCCTGCCTTTTGTACGAAAAACAGTGCCATCAATAGAAATATTTAAAAAAGTCAGCGGTTCAGAAATCTAGGAAACTATAAAATATAGTGCCCTAAAATTTTGTACAAGATACTTTACTATTAATATAAATATTTAGAACATTAATGGGCGGACCAGCAAGGGAAGTT